TATGCCAGGCAAAAACTTCAGAACATCTGCACACAAGATATGAAGTATCCAAGTATTCTAACTTCAGAAATATAAAGCTTTATGTATCACTAACAATAGCCAATCAGCAACTGATAAAGGTCCTGACTTTGGATAGGCATATTAACATGTGGCAAATTCCAACTATTTTGCAAACATTTAACTTTCTGATTTTGTCTTGAGCAGTTGAATAACAAATGATACAGAAAAAAATACAGAAAACAAGCATTCTGAGAGTATTGCATGGCAATACATAGTCCCCTACCGGTTAAAATTTATTGTACTGGAACAAAATTCTAACTTGATCTATAACTTGTCAAAGTCATCAGACCAGAACTTATATAGATACAAAGAATGGGTCTGCAAGTTTGGCTGTACCTGTAGAAAACTTATTTCAAACGGAATAGCACATCCTAAATTTTACGGTGATGTTGTAAACGGTAAAACCGAGCCCAGAAATTTAGAAACGATCCTTGTAAACTTATCAATCCTTTAAATAAACTTATTCTAAAAGGTTACCTATTCAACACTGTAACTAAATCTTTGAATATTGTTTTTATTGGTATAAATATTGATTTTGTTATCAGTAAATTAAAACCATACTTAATATTACACATATGTACTTTCATGGTACTACAATCTGTGGATATTTATAGTTTGGCATTGCACAAGGTCATGTTTTTCTCTGACTGTTAATGACCTCTTTATACTAAATCCATTGGATGTTAGATGTGTACTGATTGATATTTTAGTCTTTGATATGATTTTTGTCATTAGTTATTATTGTCTTTGAACTAACTGTCAGTAGCTGCGAGTACTCTCAGATCTGTACTTAGTATCCTTTTTGTTTTTGGGATGTATAAGTATCTATTTGTATCCATCTGATGAGTTAAGCCTTTTTCAACTGATTTTTATAGTTTGTTCTTATGTTGTACTGTTACAACACTGTCCCAGGTTAGGGGGAGGGTTGAGTGCTCACAAACATGTTTAGCTCATGTCTGTCATATTTGTTTTTCGTAAATTGTTTTGTTATAAATTAGGCCGTTAGTTTTCTCAATCAAATTGTTTCATATTTTTCATGTTGGGTCCTTTTATAGCAGACCATATGGTATGGGGTTTTCTCATTGTTGAAGGCCATACGGTTGCCTATAATTGCTTTCATTCACTTCATTTGAACTTTGGTGGATAGTTGTCTCATTGGCAATCATACCACATGATGGCACATCTCCTTATTTTTATATGGTGTAAACTATACAACGAATATTAAGTCAATATCTTCAAGCATGATGAAAAAAAAGTGAGGAAAACTGATTATTCGAGTGAATTTTCTAAGTCCAAGGACCATAACTCTGCACAAAATCATCAGACCGGAACAAAATTCGAACTTGATCTGTCACTTGTCATGATAAAACAATACACCAAATATCAATTCATTATCTTCAAGCACGAAGAAAAAAAGACTTCGTCGGTAGGGGACTAAAAACCAGTGAAGAGAATTTGAAGCACTTTGACTTTAACTCTATAATATGACTGATCAGAATCAAAGGAGATGAGTGGTACAACAACCAAATGACACAAACCCCACAATATTTTTAAAGGTCTGGCATATGGTATTCAAAAACCAACTGATGTCTATATCGGTACTAAGTTCTAAAAATTCTGAACAAATCTCAAATAACAAAAGAAAACTCTTTGTCCCTCTATTGATACATCTCAGAAATGTTAAAGTGGGGCAGAATAGGACATGAGAATGCATTGACTATAAAAACTGAAAAGTCAGGAATACACTTGCTACATTGCATTACATATGTGGTTTTGGTGATGTTGTTCTTGTTGCTTCTGAAGGACCAAAATATAAACAGACTAAAACAGTTGCAAGTGAGGTACTGTGAAAGTACTTTTAATCGTGGGTATCAATTTACATGGTTTGAGCAAAATTTACATGTACGTGGGTTCTTAAATTCAAAGAATTTGAAGTAATCAGAAACAAACATTCTTGAAAATCATGAAAATAACCAAATGTTGTTTTTATGCAAAATAGTGTGTTCATTTTCACTAACTTGTTCGTCTTTCATTACAGACACTTTCTACAAATTTTTAATAAAATAATTGCTTTCGAAAATAAACTGGTTGTTCCATGCTTACAAATTGTCTCGATTGAAGGAAATTGCAAAGTAAACAGTTTAATTGTTTGTGATGACACTAATTAACCCGAGATCGAATGATCAACAGATTAACGCTCATCAAAGGTATTAATTGGGCAATAAACATGTTAAACATATTAAAGAAAATGGTTACATAAAAAAATGTACATTGTAATTCGAATTTATATTCTTATGAAATGAAAAAGCAAGCCCAACACGAAATTATTATTTTTGTTTATTAGGAGATAAAGGGAACTCTTCATCATCGCATATCATCACCAAAAGTCTGACTTTCATCGATCAATAGTAATTTTTCATGACAAATAAAAGGTTAAAAGTCGTACATTTAATTTTTTTTTAAATGGGTAATATCCTGTCTGAAGTTGTATATATAGTTCATAGTTCGTTTGCTGATATTTGATGTATTCTCTAGATTAAAAGCCTGTATCCACGTAGTCAAACTTACATGGGGATCTTTTCATTTTTTGATTTGGACAACAGCTGTTATATTTCCTTGGACACTTAAATTCATGGATCAAGCCATCCATGAAAACCACGAAAAAATTGGTACCCCACGAATAAAAGTACTTTCACAGTATTGTTATTTAATGCAGTCATCTTTTATGGATTCATTAATGTGGTGGCAAGAGAGGGCTAATGTATCCAGTTGTGTGAAGTCTAGCAAAACATTTCCCAACCTGACCAAGATGATATTTAGTTTTGCAGGAAGCATTAATATTGGACATTTTCGCAAGCCAAGGACAATGAAGGATTACGATCCAGTCCCCTCCTCTCCACTGGATGGTAATCCTTGGCTAGCGAAGATGTAATATTGGAATAAGTAGAGGGCAAATTTGAAACCTGATCATCTCCGGAATGACGAATAAAAAAACATCAACATTGGAAAGGAAAAATTTCTTTTATCAATCCCTACAACACTGTAGAGTTTTAAGTAAATTGATCTAAGCAAACTCTAGTTAGTGTGCAATATGTAACATATTGCCTTTATCTGATACATTTTGTATGTATAGTCCCATAACTCTGGAACAACAACTATTATATAACAAATTAATTATTAGGATTTAGATACAGTTTTTAAGCTATCCATATAAAAATAAGATGTGGTATGATTGCCAATGAGACAACTATCCACCAAAGTTCAAATAAAGTGGATGTAAGCAATTATAGGCAACCGTACGGCCTTCAACAATGAGAAATATTTATTCAAACAATGGGAATAATGATAATCACCTGGAGCAATGGCAAATAAAAATTAGGTCCGGTAAGACCCCTTTTTGGCCCCAAAATATCGCGTTTTTACAATGTAGTTAAAAATGTCACTTTTAGCTATTTATTGGAAAGTAGAATACTTTTGATACATAATATGGGCTGTTTTTTACAATACAATGGACATGCATCAGGTATAAGCATCATTATTTCATGCAAAAATACTGAAATTTTCACAATTTCACCATGTGTGCTAATTTTAAGACGGTTTTTGTTTAAAATGAAAGTTGCCACAATTGTGTTCAGTCTTAATATTTATATACATGTTGTATTTAATGATTATACATAACATATATAAATGTTGAGACTGAACACGAATGCGGCCACTTTCATTTTAGACGAAAACCATCTGAAAATTGGCGTTTTATGGCATATTTGATAGATTTTTCATATTTAACCTTTAATTTGAGCGTCTCTAATGCCCAAATCAGTTCAAATCTTTAACATCAACTAATTGAATCGACTGAAGTAGACATTTGAGTGTTTAAAAAAAGTAAAAAACTTTTCATCAGATGTACTTTGAATTTTAGGCCGAAATTAACCCTTACCAGACCTTCTCCTTGCCCAACTATACTGTCTCTACTGCAGAGTCCTGAATCTTTCAATGCTCAGCTCTGTAGTTTAATTTAAATGACATGTTTTTACTTGCACCTGTATATATATATATAAATTGCACCACTTTTTGTTTATTAAATTTCAAAATTTTGCATGATCTCACTCTAAAAATGTGGCTAAATAGTCAACCAGTTGGTGGCTGCTTACTGGAAGAATTTTTTGGTTAATATGTGGACAAAGTCCCCAATTACAGTAAAAAAATCAATAAAATGAAAAAAAAAAATATAAATATATATACATGTACTAATGAACTCATAATTGTTAACTTTTTTTATCTAACTTTTTTATTTTCCATTTACCATGTTTACATTTTAAAATAATTTGAAGCTTATTCAGCATACGATTTTATGAGCAAACAAAATGTGTTCTCTTCGGAAACTCACCTGATCAATCAGTCAGCTTTTAGTATCTGATAAGAATTTTGAATAACATTCCGACTTGGTATTTTCGTGGTTTTAAAGATAATATAAATTATAACAATTTTATTCTAATAATTTTTTGATTTGAAAAAAAAGGTACCTGATGATAGCTTTCTTTGTTAAGATTGAAAAATGATGTCACAACAAAAATTCCTAACAACAGGACCAACATCGGAAAGGTTTCTATATTTCCGTTTCTTTTTCAACAGATTCTGATTTTAAACACAAAGTATGCTTCAATTCAAAGAATAATTTATTCAGGTTTCTTACCCTTACACAGGTAACACCTGTCTAATATTATCTATCAGTTTTTAGTTCATCCTGAGTATTTGGGAGAACCAATAAATGCAGATATTTTTACATGGGAACTTTTTGGTTGTCATGCTTGATGGGACGACACACTATTCTGTTTTTACTATAAATAAACAGTATTGTATATTACTGTATATCATTGGGACAATTTGACTCTTTGGTGTTTTCTGATTTGAACCTTTAAAGTACCATGTAAAACGTTTACCACTTGTTTCTTCTGTGCCTTCTGTTAAAATGTCTTTGGTCAAGTTGCTTAGCTGACCAGTTATTGACGATAGACTGCCCCCAATCCATGACATCTTAATATTCTGCTAGTTCATTATCATTGGTGTAAAAATTTAAAGGTGTACATGAGTAATGGTCGTATAAAAGTGACAAAATCTTATAAAATAATGGTGTTTATGGATTTGCCAACACGGCGGTAGCCATATTTATCCGGAAGTACAATAGGGCTTTGTGGGTAAACTTATTTCGTCTGCTTCAGGTGTCTTCAGGGAAGTCCGCGTTTAATCCTTTTTTCAGTTCATGGTATTTGCGAAATGAAACATTTTGGAAAACATGACCATTTTCACACCTATGTTATGAACAAAAATTTATGAATAAAAATGCAGCATCTCTGGTGTAGCAAAATTTGAGGGTCTGGATAAAAAGTGTATCGTGTGTGTGTTTAAAAGGGAAAAGGGGGGGGGGGGCTTGAATTGTTGTCCTTTGGCTTGATATTGTTGTACACAGGAAATAAAAATAAAAACAGCTAGAAAATATGCAAGAATGATTTGGCTCATAGATGTTTACAAAATTTTTCTCCATATTAAACCTTCAAAATATTATTTTACATGAGATACAGCAAGCTTATGGATTTATATAGTACTATTTAAATCCTTGAATAAAGTAACTTCCTAGAAATACAACAGGTTCGAACTGCAAAATATGGTATAAAAATGTTACGGTTCGCCATTTCTTTTCTATCCACTTTCTGACTGAAAACTGTTTCACACGTTATAGACGTCTGATTCGGTCATGGAGTGATAATTCTGGGACTAGTTGTGTTCATGCTATCCTAAAATTGATTGATTTACAAGAGTATCAAGTACGCTCATCTAAAACTAACATTAAACATATGGTGAAAAAGAAATCATATTCAAAATATTGTAACATATGAAAAAAAAGTTATTTAATGATAAAAGACAAAATAAGACCTCTGGAAATAAACTTAGATCTTATCCGGATTATTCAAACCAAACTTTAATTTTGAGTCATACTTATTGAAATTACCATATCTTCAAAGATGTGTTTTAACAAGATTTACTGAATTGGACCTCACAAACTTAGAATAGAAAAAGGTCGTTACTTCAATATTAAATTAGAAAATAGAATATGCAAACTTTAGAAATCCCTTTCTTAGCAAAATATTTAGTTAAAATAAAAATATTTCAAAACTTGATAACAAATCTCTTTTTATTTGGTTAATCATGTTAATGGGAAATGAAGATAAACACATTTTGACAAAAATTTGTCAATTATTTAGAGGTTTCAGATAAAAAAAAATAGAAATACAATATTAAATTAGAATTCTTTGTATACAGTCATAGATATATATATATATATGATCATTTCTGCATTTACATTATTTACATTTAACTAATAATGATGCTATACAGAGGTGTGCTGTCCAGTAAAGGGTCCAGAATAACAAACAATGGGTCATATTACATAATATATTTTTATTATTACAAATTACTTATTTCATTTACTTTAATATTAGCAGAGACATATATACATATGAAAAATTTAAAACTGAAAATGGAAATGGGAAATGTGTCAAAGAGACAACAACCCGACAAGAAAACAGCCGAAGGCCACCAATGGGTCTTCAACACAGCGAGAAAATTCCGGAGGCTGGCTTCAGCTGGCCCCTAAACAAAAATGTGGACTAGTTCAGCGGGGTTAAACATGTTTTGATCTCAACCCTCCCCCTATACCTCTAGCCAATGTAGAATAAACAAACACAGCAATACGCATAGTATTATCAGATATGTGTATATATGTCTCTGATATTAGATGATAATCAATTAAATCAAAATCAATCATGTTATAATTTGTTTAACCTATTTTTATTTTACTTAGATATTATATGATTGAAAAATTATATTGTAATTATTCTGCTCATTTTGTGATTAGCAAATAAAGTATTTTTTTGTTTTTGTTTGTTTGTTTGTGAGATAATCATTGTAATCAGATAAATCATTTTATGATACTCTTTCAAGGTAAATGCCTGTAGTGCGGTGACAAACAGGCAAAAAGTCGTCTAGATATTGAGTTTAATCTCTCCTAACAACACACGGCTAGTAAACATACACATGTCTACTTTAATTCCCCCTGTCGTAAGAAATTTGTATGGTCACAATTTCGTTTTCCGAATAAACTATTTGTAATTTGTCATCCACCCATTTCAAAGTGTTTATTTGAACTTATATGCCTACATTTTCTCCAATACAATTTGATTTTTGGAATAACCATCATTCAGAATTGTCAGTTTAGATTTTTATTTGCATCTTATCCATAAAATTATACAGTACAATTTCAAGTTATTTAAAAATATCGCATTTTTTCGTAAAAATATAGACATAAACTTTATTTGCTTGTCCCTATATGTACACATTTGTATTTAATTGTGTGATAAACTTGTTAAACATCCTGAAGTGTATTCCTGGTAAAAATTTCCAAGAGCAGGTATAGAAAATTATAAAGTTATTAATTTTTGATTAGCACTCAAGTAATATTTGAATTTACTGTATTTTTGCTATTATATATAATACTTTCCTTTCCTCAGCACCTGATATTAACCCTGTTTTTAAATTTGATATGGTCCGCGCTGCTTAGGCTTTAGTTTTGTAGATAACTGTTTGTCTATTCATCTTTTTTCGTTGTTTGTCGTCGTTTTATCGTTTTTCTCTCGATTGTCCCTTTGGTAACTTCTGTCTCACCTTTTGTCACAGTTTTCACAAATCCTCTTCATTTTCAAACAATTTGTTTTTTTTAGTTTCAGTAAAGAAGATTTTTTTAATTGGCCAAACAGATTTAAAAAGGAGGCAAAAAATATCAATGGGACATTCAAAACACATAAGTCGAAGATAAACTGACGACGCCATGGCAATTGAAGAAAGACAAACTATAAAAATAAGAAGATGTGGTATGATTGCCAATGAGACAACTCTCCACAAGAGACCAAATGACACAGAAAGTAACAACTATAGATCACCGTACGAACTTCAACAAATGAGCAAAACCCATACCGCATAGTCATCTATAAAAGGCCCCGAAATGACAAATGTAAAACAATTTAAACGAGAAAACTAATGGCCTAATTTATGTACAAAATAATGAACGCAAAACAAATATGTTACACAGCAACACAAACTAGTCCACAAAACAACACATAGAAAACTAAATACTAAGCAACACGAACCCACCAAATACTGGGGTGATCTTTGCTAAGCCGGAAGGTTACGCAGATCCTGCTCCACTAGTGACACCCGTCATGTAGCACATGGTAAGTACACATTCTGTAATAAGTCTGATTCGGTGATGATTGAGGAAAAGAGGACGGGATTGTGGTTATGAAAATTAAAACATATCCGCGGTTATCTGTGACAGATATTACCTAACGGTCAACAACTCATAATATGGCGTCAATAAAACTGTTGAAGGGATGACTTCAACTTTACCACTTTCGTTGGTTCACTTCCGATGCCCACATTTAAAAAGTTTTCATTCGAAAATCAGCCAAAATGATTTTTTATCTGATTTTATCTGTGTACCATAAGAGATGGAAAACATTTTTAATACTCTTTAACTAACTAATCTTGGACCTACCTGTTTTGTTTCGAGCTTAACTATTGTGTTTTGTGAAGACGAAACACTCGACTAGAGTACTATATTATAATCCATCTGTAATGAGTTTTCATGATACAGCCACCGTTGCGACGGTATCACCATGCCAGTAGTCAGCACTCCTTAGCTGATGGAAAAATATATCATTAATACTGTCATTTTCTGTAAATCTATCTTTACAGAGTAAAATTGAGAATGGAAATGGGGAATGTGTCAAAGAGACAATAACCCGACCATAGAGCAGACAACAGCCGAAGGCCACCAATGGGTCTTCAATGCAGCGAGAATCTCCCGCACCCGGAGGCGTCCTTCAGCTGGCCCCTAAACAAATATGTATACTAGTTCAGTGATAATGGACGCCATACGCCAACACCAGTGTGTTATTTTTAATGACTACACTGTTGAACAATTTTTTTATAACGTCTTTAATTTAAATAATGGCACCATTTTTACTGCACCAGATGCCCGTTTTGACAATCAATGTATCTTCAACGATTATTTGAAAACAGTCCTAAACCCTATTCAAACGTTGAAAAGCTGATAAAAAAAACGAACAAAGTAAAACACAAACACAGACAAGGATTCGAAGTTATGCATAATAGAAACACATTCCTTGATTTTTATATGATCGCAACAATTTTGTAACAGTAAAGGAGTAGGAAAACTTTCCCCTGTGTTTGTTGATACCTAAAAGTTATTATATGAATCCGTAATACATAGAATTTTAGTAAAGATTGAAGGAAGTCGACCCACCGAATTAGACATATCACCGGGTTTGTAATTGCATGAGCAACACGACGGGTGCCACATGTGTAGTAGGATTCTGCTTACACTTCCGGAGCACCTGAGATCACCCCCAGCTTTTGGTGGGGTTCGTGTTGCTCAGTCGTTTGTTTTCTATGTTGTGCTTTGTGTACTGTTGTTTGTGTTTTCTTTGTTTAGCCATGGCGTTGTCAGTGTTATTTTTGACTTGTGAGTTCGAATGTCCCTTTGGTATCTTTCGCCTCTTTTTTTTTACAAAATGGTCCTTGTGTGAAATAAATCAGGGGAAATTTGCCGTACCTCTTTCAATAAAATAACATCCAATTGTTTAAGTCAGTAGTACCGAAGTATTAGCAACTGGTCTGGTGATTCAAATGATATTACCAAAAAAAAATTTCTATATTCCAAAGCTTTTGATACTGAAATCTATTAGTCAAGCTAAATATTACAAATCTACATAAAATGAAAAGAACAGAATTTGTTATTAATTGTGACAAAAGTAGTTTATCGATGTTCAAATCTCATTAAGCTATTAGAAAGACAAAGGAGGATAACAAACAAGAAACAGGGGAGATAGCACGAACTCCGGGTAAGCGTCTCCTGCTATGCATCCACCACCCGCCTTGCGAATCTGCACACAGTCAAAATGTCACCACCGGGAAAAGGGCGAAATCAGTAAAATTTGAAATTATACGACTATTCTGGTATGTGAAAACAAGTCGCTAGTGACGTGAGACAAAGATATAATATCGTATCGGTCGACTGATTCGTGATGGTGACCGT